CATAAAACTCAAGAGACAGACACACTGAAGACAGTCTTCACCAACAACCCCGCTGCCATTAAACTCTTTTGTGTTGTGTTCAAATATTTTAAATATATGATATAAAGTTTTCAAACATACATAAAAGTAGAGCCCCTATACTCATTACCAAAATTCAACAATTACCAAGATTTTGACATGCTAACTTAATCTATCCCGTTTTCCCCCTATTTTTTCTTTGTTTAAATATTTTATTATTATGGTTTTTGAGACAGGGCCTCACTCTGTTGCCCAGGCTGGAGTGCAGTGGTGTCATCATAGCTCACTGCAGCCTCAACCTCTGGGATGAAGTAAATCACCTGCCTCAGTCTCCAACGTGCTGGGATTACAGGTATGAACCTCTGCACCCAGGCTGTTTAAATATTTTTAAACAAATTCTATATCATACCATTTTATTCTTATATACCTCAGAAGTAATCTCTATATTATTCATCTTCTTACATTATACTCCTATTCTCCTGAATAAAAGCAATTCCTTGATATCATCCAATACCCAGTCCATAAAATTTCCCCCAACATCTGAAAAATGCCTTTTTACATAGGACATGCATACTTGCAGCAGCACAATTCAGTCACAAAGATATGGAACCAACCTAAGTGCCCATCGACCAATGAGTGGATAAAGAAAATGTGGTATATATACACCATGGAATACTATTCAGCCATAAAAAGGAACAGAATAATGTCTTTTGCAGCAACTTGGATTGAGCTGGAAGCCACTATTCTAAGTGAAGTAACTCAGGAACAGAAAACTAGATGCCTTATTTTCTCACTTAAGTGGGAACTACACTATGAGGACACAAAAACAATACAGAGCAGCATAATGAAATTTAAACCTGGGGAAGGAGTGGGCCAGTAGGGTAAGGGATAAAAGACTACATATTGGGTACGGTGTGCACTGTTTGGTGGACAGGTGTCACCACTGTATAATTTACCTATGTAACCAAAAACCACTTGTAACCCAAAAGCTATCTTAAATAAAATTTTTTAATGTCTTTTCAATAGCAGGTGTGGTGGCTTGTGCCTATAATCCCAGCACTTTGGGAAGCCAAAGCAGGAGGATCGCTTGAGCCCAGGAGTTCAAGACCAGCCTGGGCAACGTGGTGAGACCTCGTCTCTTCAAAAAATAAAAAAATTAGTTGGGTGTGGTGGTATATGCCTGTAGTCTCAGCTTCTTGGGAGGCTGAAGTGGGTGGATTGCTTGAGCCCAGGAGGTCAAGGCTGTGGTGAGCCGTGTTCATGCCACTGTACTCCAGCCTGGGTGACAAAGTAAAACCCTGTCTCAAAAAAAAAAAAAAAAAGTCTTTTTTTGACTGGGTTCAGTGGCTCACACCTGTAATCCCAGCACTTTCGGAGGCCGAGGAGAACAAATCACCTGAGGTCAGGAGTTCAAGACCAGCCTGGCCAAAATGGTAACACCCCATACTAAAAATACAAAAATTAGCTGGGCGTGGCGGCACACACCTGTAATCCCAGCTATTCAGGAGGCTGAGGCAGGAGAGGAGGCAGAGATTGCAGTGAGTTCAGATCTGCACTTGACTCCAGCCATTGCACTCCAGTCTGGCTGACAGTGAGACTTCGTCTCAAAGAAAAAAAAAGTCTCTGCAATTAAACTAAATTGTGTCCCCCACAAGTTCATATGTTGAAGCCTTAATTCCTATTACCTTAGAATGTGACTATTCATGTATTTGGAGATAGAGCCATTAAAGAGGTAATTAAGTTAAAATGAGGTCATTAGGGTGGGCCCTAATCCATTCTAACTGGTGTCCTTATAAAAAGAGGAATCCAGGACATGCAGCAGGACGCTGGGAGTGTGCATATACAGAGCAATGACCACGCAAGGAGGTGACAAGAGGCAGCCATCTGCAAGCCAAGGAGAGAGGCCTCAGAGGGAACCAACCCTGCCAGCACCCTGACTTTGGACTGCTAGCATCCAGAGCTGTGAAAATACCAATCTCTGTTGTGTAAGCCACCCCGTGTGCGGTATTTTGTTATGACAGCCCTAGCAAACTAATACACAGACTATCCTAAGCCAAACAAGGTTCACACATGACATCTGGTTATAATTCTTAAGTCACTTTATTATTTTTTCCATGTCAGACTTGTTACAGAAGCCAAGTCAGTTGTCTGACAGAATGTTCTACATTCTAAATTTTTCTGTTTGTTTCTTTAGAGTGTAATTCAACTTGTCATGCTTTCCCCCATCTTTCCAATATATGAAAGTTAGCTCTAGAGTCTTGGTGAGATTTTAGGAGTCAACATTTGGGTAAGAATATTCCAAAAGTGGTGCTATGTGTTCTCTCTCTCTCTCTCTTTTTTTTTTTTTTTTGAGACAGAGTTTTGCTCTTGTTGCCCAGGCTAGAGTGCAATGGTACGATCTCAGCTCACTGCTACCTCTGTTTCCTGGGTTCAGGAGATTCTCCTGCTTCAGCCTCCTGAGTAGCTGGGATTAGAGGTGGATGCCACCACATCCAGCTAATTTTGTATTTTTAGCAGAGACGGGGTTTCTCCATGTTGGTCAGGCTGGTCTCGAACTCTCAACCTTGTGATCCACCCACCTCAGCCTCCCAAAGTTCTGGGATTACAGGCGTGAGCTACTGCGCCCAGCCTGCATATTCACTTTTTAACATGACAAAAAATGCATAGGTAAACTTGGTCCAGGTTCTTTTCTGCCTCTATTTGTCTTGACCATGTGCTGATGAAGTACCTGCTCATCTCCTCCACACTATTTGTTTGGGTTAGTTAGTGACATTCACTTCATCCTACAGAAGAGTTTTGCTTTGACCTGCTCCTTGAGAGTTGAAAGGAGTCCAAAGAGAGAGTGGAATTAGAAAAGACAGAGCCATCCACTCTCCGTGACCATATTCCTACCAGATGTCCAGTGTCTGCCCACACCACAACCCTGTCAGATGTCTCAATAGTAGTGATCCTTATTTCCTAGGATTCACTCACATCCTTGCCCACTGACTTCCCCATTAGAGTCTTTTAAACCCCCTGGAAATCTAAAGCCAAATTATGAGCCGGAGTTTAGATCTAAAAGTGACAATAATAACTTAAAAAGCTTGCTAGGTTTGTGCTTGCTTCTTGCTTTTAAAAAAAATTGTTTTAGTAATACAAACGCAGGTAGTTAAACCATACAGAAAAGAGAATGATGAACACAAAAGTCAGGATATCATTATGTCTGTGAGGAGGAAACAGGGCATGATTTCAGGGCAGAGAATGGACAAACAGCTTCTAGGGTACCAATAATGTTCCATTTGAAATTGGATGGCAAATTCACAATTTTCTTTCTTTCATTTTTTGAGACATTGTCTTACTATTTTGCCCAGGCTGGTCTTGAATTCCTGGCCTCAAGCAATCCTCCAACCTCAGCCACCTGAGTAACTGGAATTGCAAACATGTGCCACTGCATCTGGCCACAATTTTAATGTTCTTCTTTAAATTGTAAATATGCATTTAAAACATTCTTTCATATGCACTGTATGTTTCGCATTAATTATTTTTACATAAGCAGTCCACCATAGCTAGACCACAGGGTTTGAAGAGTAGAGTAAAAGGAAAAAAGACTGGAAAAGGAGTTTACTCTAAAGGCAATAGGAACCTTAATGATCCTCTCTTAGGAGTAACATCAGGGAACAGTTATACCCAACAACAATTCAAATAGCTTTCTCATAATCTATCCATCGAGAATGATAGAAAAATCCATTTTTTTCCCCATCTTTAAAAAAAGAAAAATCAATTTTTTCTAAGTTACCTAGATACGAGCTACCCAACATCTTAAGCATCTCATTGGGAAACATAATAATATGGTTTTCATGTATTTTTCCAGGGAGAGGAGCTTCAGCCTGCCCTAGGGAACATGTTTGCCTCTAATTCTTTTTTTTTTTTTTTTTTTTTTTGAGACGGAGTCTCACTCTTTCGCTCAGGCTGGAGGGCAATGGGGCATGATCTCGGCTCACTGTAACCTCTGCTTCCCAGGTTCAAATGATTCTCCTGCCTTAGCCTCCCAAGTAGCTAGGATTATAGGCACACCCCACCATACCCAGCTAATTTTTGTATTTTTAGTAGAGACGGGGTTTTACCATGTTGGCTGGTCTTGATCTCCCGGCCTTGGGTGATCTGCCCACCTCAGCCTCTTAAAGTGTTGGGATTACAGGTGTGAGCCACCGAGCCTGGCCTGCCTCAAGTTCTTAAATGATACAAAGCTGGGAGGGATGCAGAACAAATGTTTGACAGGACAGAATCGAAATATATCTTGGCAAGCTGGAGTGACAGGTTAAATCTAGGCCAATTTATAATAACATCTCCCATTTGTTGAGAACACTCGATATGCCAAGAGCTTTACATAATTTATCTCATTTAATCCCTACAACCACACTGTGAAGCTGAGACCCAGGAAAGTAACTTGCCCAAGGTCATAAAGCAAGTTAATAGCAGAGTCGTGATTTGAACCTAGGTTTGCAGGCTTAACTTTCAGTCTCAAGTGAGATTCCTACGGCCACCAGAAATTAACATTCCAAACTGAATCCTCTGCTACCACACTGGGAATTAAGAAAACAATAATATATAAATAAATATCTCAAACCTTTTTTATTCACCCTGTCACCCTCAGAAAACTGCATCGCCCAACTCCAACCCCCTTGAGCATATGAGGGTATCAAGTACCTCCAAAGAATGATCAAATCAAATGAAAAAACAAACAAAAACAAAAAAGAATAATCATATCAGACCATTTTCATTAATGTAACACTTGGAGACTCCCGACAGCTGCCAGGAAACCTCCATCTGTCCTCAAGAGCAAGCTGTAACAGGATTCTCTCTGCAACCCATTCCCAGCCCAGCCATGTCTGCCTCCCCGTCTGTATTTAAGACTTTGCAAAACCCAAGCTCTGCAGTTATAAATGGAGGCCCCTTACCACAAAGATTACTGGGCAAGACCCCTCAGCCAGGCTATTCCCTACCTTCAGTTTTCTCTTGTCCTCAGGGGCACTGTAATTTGATGGGTGTGTATAGCTCAGAGAACAGCACAACTGGCTCCAGTGCACAGTCATATCCAATGGAGCTATCCCGAAAGACAGCCAGAGAATTTTAATGAAAACCAGAAAACCCCTGACCGCTAAGTCCAACTGCGGTCAGGCCTGCCAGCCCCTCCCCCTACAGCTAAGAATCGCTGAGCCAGCTTTGCCCCAAAGAGCAAGGAAGAAAATCCATTTTGCATTCAGTAAATCCTTCTTCCATAGCAGCCACTTCCCAGGGTCATTTAGGTTAAAGGTGAGGCATATGATAACTGCAACAGGACCCAGGGACCCTGAGAGGCACAGGGTGTGGCAGCAGCAGATTTGAGCCAACAGATTATGAAACAGTCATTTAAAAAAAAAACAAAAAGTCTTTCCTTCTGCCAAAGCTCTCTGCCCACAGCTGCATACAAGGCTAGTGAGGAATCTTAACAAGCTTAAAGGGACCGTATTTCAGATACTCGAGAACCAAAGGGGAGGAAATAAGTGTTTTGAGCACTTATTACGTATCAGGTGCTCTGATCTTATTTCATCCTCACTGTGAAATAGGAACTGTAAACTGCACGTAACAGATGAGAACACTTGACTCAGAGAGGTTCCATAACTTGTCCAAGGCACACAGCTAGCAGCTTTCCCTAAGCAGGACTGAAAGTTCAGTGTAGGTGAGGCTCATCAGAAGTACCAAACCTTTTGTTCACAGAGGGCAGAAAAAAATAAATAAAAAGAAAATGAAATACTAAACTCAAAATCCTGAACTATCCTGACTAATAAAAAGAATGATCATTTACTGAACACTGGCTATGTGCCAGGCACTAAGCTAATATATTTGCAGGCACTATATCATCTAATCCTCACAGCAACTAGATAAGATACATGTCATTATTACCTCCATCTAATAAGCAGCGAACTACGACTAAGACATTAAATAACTTGATCAAGGTCACTGCATCGCCAGGATTTGAACCCAGGGCCAGAACTATCTGATTCTAGAGCCCTCACCTTAAAACACTCATCCTAACAGCATTCAGAAGGGAGCCAACTAGATCATCATGCCAAGCACACAAGTTGCAGGGAGATTTCTGCTCCCCTCCCCAGCAGGTAATGCATATTCCAGACTTGCCTTTCAATTCCTCCCAACACTCTTGAGTGGAGGCACAGAATCACTGCCACTGGGAAAACTGATAGCTATGTTTCCACCTTCCCATGCACCATGGACTCTGCTGTCCCAACACAAGTGAAGAAGAAGGCCACCACCATGATCCAGAGATTCCCCCGTGAGTATAGAAGCAGACAGCTTCTTTCCCCAAGCTCTGCTCCACAAGCCCATGCAACCTCAAGCAGTAACCTCGTCCTCAACAGCTCACAGGCCTATTTTGTATTCTTAACAGGAGACCATGTGCCTCCTTTTAGAGCAACTGTGATTTCCCAAGGGAGATAACTGTCTAGACACAGCATCTATCTTGACAACCAGCCTGGGCTACATGATGCTAGGTTTGATCATTTAGATTTTAGGGTCTGCATTCAGTTCTGCAGTGAAGGCTCTGTGCTTGGCACCTCTGGGTAATCAGATTGAGTATCACTCAGTGCAACAGCTGACACCCTGGGTTAGAACTGTCTTCCCAGCCAGGTAAGCGTTACCTGAGGGAAGTCACAGGCATCTTATGGATTCCAAACTGAATCCTCTGCTACCACATTGGGAATTAAGAAAACAATGGATCTCACACACACACAGGCACAACACACAAACAGTTCTATTAATGAGGCTGAAACTTGACAGAACTCTTCTATGCATGTTCAGAATTAAGTAACAGGCTTTGACTGGTTGTGGACTGAATACCTAACATGTATCGGGTATGGTGGTAGGTACATTCACAGCCAATATCTGAACTGACCTGCACAACATTCTGTGAGGTAGATAGAATTGCTATTATATGGATGAGCCAACTAAAGCCCAGTGAGATAGCATAATTTGCCCAAAGTCATACAGAAATGGCAAAGCTCAGGTTCAAATTTCTCTCTTTTTTTTTTTTCTTTGAGATGGAGTCTCGCTCTGTCTCCCAGGCTGGACTACAGTGGCTCGATCTCAGCTCACTGCAACCTCCGCCTCCCAGGTTCAAGGGATTCTCCTGCCTCAGCCTCCCAAGTAGGTGGGACTACAGGCAGGTGCCACCATGCCCAGCTAATTTTTGTATTTTTAATGAAACAGGGTTTTACTGTGTTGGCCACACTAGTCTCGAACTCCTGACCTCAAGTGATCCGCTCACCTCGGACATCCAAAGTGCTGGGATTACAGGCATGAGCCACCACACCTGACCTCAAATTCATTGTTAATATGACTCCAACACACTTTCAGTCAATTATGAGTCCATTCATTTATTTCTCAGATAGTTATTGAGCTCTTTCCATGAGCCAGCTACTGTGACACTTACAGAGGATACAATTGTTAATGTAAGGTAGGTCCAGTCACCAAAGAACTAATGTTCTCGTGAGGAGAGATGACAATGCAGATAGATAATTTCACAATGATAAGTCGGGGCCTTAGAGGAGTGATGGGGTCAGGCCTCTCTGAGAAAGTGAGATGTCAGCTGAGATCTGAAAGATGAGAATGAGCCAGTCATTTGCAAAGCTAGGGAAAGAGTGCAGGCAACAGATACAATAAGTACAAGGTTCGGCTGCAGGAAAAGGCTTGGCATGTCCAAGGAACATAAAAAAGAACAGAGACCAAGGCTGGGTAAGCAACAGGAAAGACAGAACGGTTGAGATGAGACAGAACCTTATTGACCATGGAAAACACTTTGAACTTTGTTCAAAGGACGATGGAAGATCAAAGAAGAGTTTTAATCAGGGAAATAGTGTAATCTGATTTGTGCTTTAAAGAGATAATTCAAGCCAGGCACAGTGGCTCATGCCTGTAATCCCAGTACTTTGAGCGGCTGAGGCAGGCAGATTATGAAGTCAGGAGTTCGAGACCAGCCTGGCCAACATGGTGAAACCCCGTCTCTACTAAAGATACAAAAAATTAGCTGGGCATGGTGGCGCGTGCCTGTAGTCCCAGCTACTCGGGAGGCTGAGGCAGGAGAATTGCCTGAACCCAGGAGGCGGAGATTGCGGTGAGCCGAGATCGCGCCATTGCACTCCAGCCTGGGTAACAAGAGCGAAACTCCGTCTCAAAAAAAAAAAAAAAAAAAAAATACAAAAATTAGCCAGGCATAGTGGCGTGTGCCTGTAGTCCCAGCTACTAGGGAGGCTGAGGCAGGAGAATTGCTTGAACCCGGGAGGTGGAGATTATGATGAGCCAAGATTGCACCACTGCACTATAGCCTAGGCAACAGAGCGAGACTCTGTCTCGAAAAAAAGAGAGAGAGAGAGAGAGAGAGAGAATTCTGGTTGCTCTGTGGAGAAGGGAGTATAGGGAGCAGGCAAGACTTAGGAATTGGGGAGAGGGAATGGTGGCCTGGACTAGGGTAATGGTAGAGGAGAGGATTTTATACTTGGGGATAAGAAAGAAAATACTTGAGGTAATACTTGTTTTTTTTTAATAAAATTTTTGAAATTTACTTACAATTAAAAAAATTAAAAATGAATTCTATTTTTATTTATTTTTTTATGAGACGAACTCTTGCCCTGTTTCCCAAGCTGGTGTGCTGTGGTGTGATCTTGGCTCACTGCAACCTCTGCCTCCAGGGTTCAAGTGATTCTCCTGCCTCGGCTTCCTAGTAGCTGGGATTACAGGCACCCTCCCTCATGCCTATCTAATTTTTATATTTTTAGTAGAGACAGGGTTTTGCCATGTTTGCCAAACTGGCCTCAAACTCCTGATCCTCAGGTGATCTGCCTACCTCAGCCTCCCAAAGTGCTGGGATTACAGGTGTTAGCCACCACAGCCAGCCGAATAAATTTTTTAAAAAAGAATGAAAATACTTGCTGATGAATGGTATATGAATGGTAAAGGGAACAAACTCCTGGGTTTCTAGCTTCAACAACTGGGTAGATGGTGGTACCATGTATTAAGAGAAAAACTGGAACAGGGAGGGGAGCACTGCACACTGGGGTCTGTTGGGGGGAATAGGGGAGGGACAGTGGAGGGTGGGGAGCTGGGGAGAGATAGCATGGGGAGAAATGCCAGATATAGGTGAAAGGGAGGAAGGCAGCAAATCACACTGCCATATGTGTACCTATGCAACTATCTTGCATGTTCTACACATGTACCCCAAAACCTAAAATGCAACAAAAAAAAAAGAGAGAGAAACTGGAGGAGAAGCAAAATGCTCATGACATAGCCAACTATATCACACTTAGAAGAAAAAAGTGAACTCAAGTTGTGTTTGTTCTGGGGTAGCTAGGAATTAAAGGCCTGAAGCTGCTACCCTGGTGAAGATAAAGTGTTTGGGGGTTATGATAGAGAGTAAAGTGTAAGAATCTGAACGGATGCCCTAGGAAACGGGTTCTACTTACTTCAGACATAGGGAAGGAGTTCAGTCTGATGTAAGGAAAGGCTATCTCATGGTCAGAGTAAAGTGAGCTGTCCTGGGAGTGGGAGAGGGTGAATGATGACCTCTCTGTCATTGGAGGGGTTAAACAAAAAACCAGATGACCCCTTGACTAGAGGGATAGAGAGAGAATTCAGTAATTGAATGGAGTAAATGCTACATAAAATCCTTCTAAACTCCGGAATTCTGTGGTTTTTAGATAAAATCTTAATTAATCTAACCTTCAGGACTGGAGTTTCTCCAACAGGCCAGAACTCCCTTGGTATGTCCTACCTCACAGAAGGCAAATGAGAACATTAGCTAATTTTAGTCACTATAAAATGACTCCTAGTCCATTTCTAAGTGTCATACAAGATGCCGAAAGCTTTTTGGTGTAGGTAAAAGGGACAAGCTATGGAATTGGATATCCCATATCAGCAGTTTATTAGCTCTGTGTCCTCTAGCAAATTATTTAAATCCTCTGAGTCTAAATTTATTTCTTTGAAATAGGGGGAAAGCAATGCCTACCTCAAGATGTTTACTGTGAGGACCAAAGCCTAGTACCTAATACATTCTACTAAGAATAATAATGAGGCCAGGTACAGTGGCTCATGCCTGTAATCCCAGCACTTTAGGAGGCTGAGGTGGACAGATCACCTGAGGTCAGGAGTTCAAGACTAGCCTGGCCAACATGGGGAAACCCCATCTCTATAAAAATACAAAAATTAGCCCAGCATGGTAGCAGGCACCTGTAATCTCAGCTACTTAAGAGGCTGAGGCAGGAGAATCCCTTGAACCTGGGAGGCTGAGGTTGCAGTGTACTGAGATCGCACCTCTGAACTCCAGCCTGGGCAACATGAGAGAAACTCCATCTAAAAAAAAAAGAAGAAGAATAGCTAACATCTATTACTACAGATCTATAACTATATGCTAGGCATGTGTTAACGTGCGTATTTAAAAAATCCAATCCTTACAACAACCCAGAAAGTAGCCACTATAATCTTCCCTGTTGAAAAACCAGAAAATTGATTTCTGAAGGTTAAGTGACTCATCCAAGAGTCATATAATTAGTAATTGCCCAAATTAGGAAAAACAAACTTCAACAAAGGTTGAGAGAAAAAGACAAAACAAACCCCATATTTAGATAAATTGAAAAAAAGGAATCTACCATTGAATTAAAAGCAATTCAATTAACTAACTAGTCATTTAGTAAAC